AGAGTCTGAGCACTATTCCAAAGACTTTAATTTTAAAGCATTTCGGGAAATCGCTGTTAAGGCTACTGCTAGGACATACGGATTTTACATAACAGCACATCCGGCGCTACGAGCACAGTGCCTTCCGTAAAGGCATCACAGCACTTAGACTGAGCGGACGTGACATTTGCTGGAGACAGTTTGACCGTTCCAAGCAACGGTGTCTACCACTGCCTTACAAGGCGGCACAGGCCTGGATTGCCCGATATCGTCTTACTTCATTTTCTAACATTCACTGTGTTACGATGGCAAAACAAAGTCAGAACGACCAGAGATGGGTGAACGGGCGTAATCACTATCGCCCGCCATGTGCCGCACTTGATCTGGCCCACCACTCCACACGCACCGGGCTCCAGTGAAGGGACTCGGATCTCGCATGAGTTAGTGTCACCAAAGCCACATTAAGAACGGGGCCACTGCAGACTGAGCCTCCGCCCTGAGTAGTACCGTTATGCAGTCGATTGGTGACCTTCCAAGCCACGACCGAGAGTCGTAGTGGCTGGACCCTGTCCATTACATTGGCTGGTGTGGCTAGCCCATCGTTGAAGGTTAACGGAGCGTTTGTTCGTAAAGGGAAAACTGCGTGCTGACCTCGAGCTGGATCGACCTCACTCTCTCTCTCTCTTCCCTCCCCCACCACAGCAACGCATCCAAGTAACATGGACTGGAGGTGAGACTGAGAGAAGTGAGTGATGTGGTCTCTGTATAGGCATCCACGCATACGATGAGTTTACAGATACTACCAATGTTGGTCAATTGGTGATGAGGCAACTTCGCGCTTTGTACTGGCCATGCAAGGTCCCGTACGCTCGGCTACCAGTTGGGATGCAGTAAGTTCTCTAGTGCCAATCTGACACTTTAGAGAGTGACATAAATGCATTACCTAAAGTCGTGTAAGTGGAAAAAGAATGAAATCCCGACCAGGTCTTGAGCCCGAGGACCTCAGGGCTACAGGTCTACTCCTGATTGCCACCAGGAGACACTTTGTGGCTGATTTCACAGAAAGAACTTCTTCTGTACATGGCGATACTGAGCATGGGAAAATAAGACCGCAGTTTCCTATCAACCTTTAGTAACGCTTACGGGTTCCAAGCTTAAAGAATTTACTGAATCGGAAGTCTTAAGTCTATATGAAAACTCCATCAGTATCGTAATCACATCTTCTCTAGTTGTGTTTTTTTTAAATGGACTTTTGTCCAGCATTTTTCCTCGTGGTACAAAAGTTGCATTATCGTAAACACAAAATCTCGTTCATAGCTTCAACTGCTAGAGCAATTCAATAAGCCTTGCCACACGTGCCCGAGGATTTTGTTACCAGTCTGATGTGATGGACTGGCCAGCCGAAGGTTTTTGAGCTAAAGATGGACTCACGTGTCGAAGGACTACGGTAAGGTTGTATAGTGACTTCCCACAAGCTGTTCTACAACGTCTAAGAAGCAGCAGAGCTAAGGGTAATCCTCTGGGAGGACGCAGTATGTCCTAAGATGCTACCTGCTATATGTTCTCCGCAGGTGACGGGTAATGGAACGGCCTTTAGCAAAAATCAGCTGCTAACTGCGCAGAACTTGTGTCAGGGATCAGCAGACACAATGGTGGTAGGACGCAGAGGGCTCAGGATTGGCAAACCGACTACCCTGAACAAAGCAACAAAGTCAGACTACGGCACTGTGAGGTGGCGGCATGAACAGATGCCAAATAATTTCTTCTTAATACCGCTGCATTCAAAGGCTAAGCTGGAAGCCAACGCCTGTCAAACATCTTTGGGTACGTAAGTTTTGTGACGCGGACCTCACTCTATGCAACGTCGTCCGCAGCAGCTCCCGTGCCTGAACTTCTGTAAGCGGGTCAGATGATCAACGGGCAATCCGACCTATTCGGAATGAAGGGTGAAGTACGCATCGACACCGGAGCACAAGAAATATTATGTGTCGACAACGCGTAGCCTCAACATCCGATTGTTCGCTTGCCCCTCCAAGGGACGCCTGTCAAAGACTGAAGCAGCGCTGAGACATGCCTCCGCTCTCATTATGATGTTGTCACTAACAACTTTCAGCACCATGGTGTCACAATTGCCCAGGATGGCCGGACCAGGGCTTTGCATATGTACTGGGAATCGGCATAACCGAGGATTGAAGTAGTGCGTCTTCGTGGCGGTGCCTTCAGCATTACGGACATTGTGGGGCAGACCATAATGCTGGGCCATAATACTAGTCTATACGGTGAATTTCTAAGAGGAACTTCGGACAACCGTCGGGCTTGTCTCGCTATGATCGTACTGATGCGGTAGATTGGGGTGTCAGAGTGGAGAGATACGAAGCATTAGGAAACTGCTGAGTAACTACTGTATGGCTCGCCGACTTTTCCGACCTAATTCTTGTCGTCACTGACACGGGCTTCCGGCATCACCGAAGACACTTAGTGAACTTGTAATCGGACGATGACCACACCTGAAATCAAATCGACTATGCACTCAACCGAGTACGCTGCGTCAGCTTAGTACCAGGCGCTGCTGGATTCCTTGCCTTGGCAGTAAGGACAGTCCTAAAAGCGTTCTGCCCTCTCATCGTCAAGAATTCTTCACAGTCTTCCCTGGCTGACTCTGGTCGTATAGTGAAGTTGGTACAAGAATCAACAGGGTTTTTTCGAAGGATGTGCCAGTCAGCACTTTTCACTTCGCTGAACCCTTGAACACCGTCGTTACCGTCAGCAGCCCACTCTTGTTTCCTCCGTGGACTTTGACTTGCCCATTGGAATTTCCAATGGTCGGTTAAATTGCATGATCGTACACCACCGAAAGCACTTCGATTGCTGCAAATCTACTATAACAGAAGGATGTAGTCCGTGGAAAGATTGGGGAGTGAGTCCTTCAGTGCGAGGTTCAATGGTACTGGTCTCTAACGAGCTCCGTCCAACTGCGAGGTAAACTAGCGCTGACAGAACACTTCGGCATTATATTCGGTAGTGCGTCCTGTTCTAATAATCTTGATCAGACTAAACAGCACTGGTGCTGGCGAGCTGTTATATAAATGTAGCGTACGTCTCAGATAAGTAAGAAAGCAGTCGATGTAGGCATGCAAATCAACTCCTCCAATGCATTATCAACGTCGGTCTCTATGGTTGGAAAATCATCCTGGTTAGAGTGAGCTTCTGGGTCGGAGAACGGCCTGTGCTGCCTTCAGTTGAATGTAATGCGAAACCGGTGAAATGAGGGAAAAAGGATCGTCTGCAATCCCGGAAGCTAGTCCGGGGATCATAAAGCGAGCCACCGTCAAGGCAATCCCCCGTAATTACGAAGGGGTCCGCACGTGCAGACAAATCCGCCATCTGGACTCAGCCCATCGATGTCTCAAGCTTTAGCCGCCGAACTTCCCCCAAACCGTGCCTAAAGCAGATGGCTTCGCAGTCAGAAAAGTAGCCCGACCCCGTAAATTCCCCATCCATATACACCGAATGAGCTGATTTAATCACTTACTGCACCGACCTTATGGAAAATTCGTTCGGATGTCATTTCACCCGAACCCGGCTCAGGCTTGTACCTGTTTGTTTACTCATTTTAAGACGTTGCGAAAGCCGACCTCAAGCAAATATTTGGATCCCTGGGTTCTGGCATGCGGAGTAGACGCGCGCAACTCCGCTAAGGAGTCTGTCCCCAGTCGACTGCCCCGAAGGGTGATTATTCATGATACGGCGAGCCTGTGGCGTAAAATCCCTAAATCATTCATGACAAATGCCGTAACAGGCGTGAAGCACACAAACCCATGGATGCTGAATCCCAGAACGTCTCTCTATCACTGTAAAATCATAGTGTAGATCTCGGCTATCTCCAGAAAAGCCTTCAAAGATCGAATCACATTCTAAGCACGGGTGCAAACCAGTTCTGATGGCGTATTAAGCTGCCATACCTGTCGATGACGTACATTGGGAGTATGGAGCCCAGGCCGGTTGCTGGGGGCTGAGACAAAGTAAATAAGAGTCCTTTCAAATCCTGGCTGAGCAGTACGGTTGTCATTGCTGGCCACGGTTTGAGTCTGTCTTCCGTCACTGAAAAGGTTTCGCAAGTCTACTCCCCAGCCTTTTTAACCTGTCGGCACCTATCACACGACGCGGCGCCACCTGAGGTCCACCTCGTTCAGTCACCACAGACTAACGTGACGTCGCTGCCACGATGCAGCCCTTACATAAATGACCCACTTGAACCTGAATTCCACATTAGTGGAGGCTTACGCAATTACATCGTTTACGCGGACGGTCGAACATGCAGATGACTCACCGCACAGAAAAATTAGTGCTTCTTCACACTGAATGAGGCCCCAGCCTCCCCCATCCTTGGCGACAGTAGACGAGACGGACCGGTTCCGCCATACTCAGTGATTCGAAGGTTTCGACTATGGACTTAGGACTTGAAATAACGTTGTTGGAGATCTGGATAAGTGTCATCCAACAAACTTTCCGGGTCTACGAAAATCGGGCCAGGAGCTGGATGGGAGTTTGACTAAAGCCCATTGGCATGCCCACCACCAGTGGAAACAGGTGAACGAACAGACAGAGCAGTTACGCAGTTTCGGGTCAATTTAACCGTAGTGTCTCCCGAGTCCGCTCCTTACACGCCCAGACCGGGACGATGCTCACATCCACTCGGAAGTTCCGTAGCGGTGTCAGGCTCTGGCCTGCAGCAAACATTTTGGGCCAGGTGGCTGTCGCGAAAAGAACGGCCTCTCAAAAGAGTACTTTGTAAAACTTTCCAGCCCCGCCCATAATCATGTAAATGATTAACAAGCAGCTGCCAGTAAGTGAACACCAGTCAAGCGCACTACACCAATGACGACCAGTTTGTGCAGTTTTGTCTTGTATATACTAGCGGGATGCACGCATTCGTCGAGGCCCTGCAATGAGAACAGTCGGACAAGGATTTTGGCGGATGAAGGGATAGGTTTATTTACAAGGTGAAAATTAGAAGAAAATCAGGGGGTGTTTATGAGGGCACATTCCGGGGTGAGAGGGGGCATCGTACTTTCTAGTGCATCAGAACAATACCCATCGGCCTCTAGGCACTGAAGGATGTCATCAAGACTCTCATCCGAAGTGGATGAGGGACTCAGAATGACGTCGCTAGCACCCTCGCTATCGCAGAAAGATTGGTAAATGAGATCATAAACAGAAGAGGAGGAAACTATGGGGGCAATGTCTACCTCATGGGCATCAACCTCAACAGTTTCTGGGGGCGGAATTGTAACTTCGGAAGACACCTCAATTGGGGAAAGCTCGGGGAGGAAAAAGTCGGGGCCGGGGCTGTTTGGGGTGAAGGATGGAACTGGGAGGCCATGCAGAGGAGGGGAAGGGAGAGGAAAATCAGAAGACAGAGAGCCACGCCCTGCTGCTGAGGGAAGAGTACTGCTGACTCTGAAGGCTCGATCTCCTTCCGCTTTCCACTCCTTAAACTCTGCGTGAGTGCATCCAGTTCCGCCCGCAAGGAAATAAACTTTTGTTCATGGTCCCGACACTTCTCTCTTAGTGCCACGTTCGTACGGCGGAGGAGTCGATTCTCCGTCCGCAGTTGGGCAATACACTGTTCCATCATTTTAATCGAGTCCTTCTTACGGTCCCGAGCCTTTTGTGCCGCCTCTCTGTTCAGAATTTTTCTGAAACCATGATTACATGGAAACAAGGGTACCTTCTAATCGCCTTTTCTTCCTCAGTCAGGAAGTCTAACTTCGCCCGCTTACGCTCAGAGGTCATAGCGTGGCGGGCATATGAGTTATAAACCTCCCCGGAGGCTGTCAAATACGTTAAGTTTGACTGCTGAGGAATACTAAAACTTGTCTGACAGAGAGGAATGCGGACACCGTGGATCGGGATCATCCTACGCCAATGTCAAGTCTCCAACTCTGAATGACGCGCGCCCACGCATTTAAACAGACAAAGTTCAAGTTCCAAAGCTTCCTTGCATATTGATCCAGGCGTACATTGCACAACGAAATCCGTGATTCGTAACTTCAGGTACAGGATTTCACAATCAAACGCGAGCTCTCTAGTCTATTGGAACATTAATCTTCGGGGATCTGCGAGGACGAAACACGGAAGAAGTCAAAATATAATTAAGTGGAATGCTTGGTGTTGAAGAGGCTGACGGAATGTTCAGTTCGGTTTGCTGG